TGGGGCCGGGGGGCGAGGGGGTTTGCAGGCTCCGGACAGGACCTGGGGACCCCCGGGTGCTTGCGGAGATGGGCAGGGTCCTGTTGCACCCTCCAGGGTTGCCCCTTGGAGGGATGGAAATGGGGGGGTTGGGCTTGTCGCTGTGGGGGGGGGGGAGCACTGATGCCCGGGCGAGGGATGGGGGAGCAGGGCTGTGCTCCCCATTCCTCTGTGGCCTCCCGGTTGGGGTGAAACCCATTGCCTCGATGCCCTCTGCCCGCTCGGGGGTCCTGCCCTGGGTGGGAGCACTGGTCCCCTCGCAGGGCTCTCCCCAAGCCCCCATTTCCAGGGCAAAGCAACGGTTTTGTCCCCAAGTCCATGTTCTCTCCTGCCCGGCTGTGGGCGCGAGCAGCTTAGGGACAGGCAGCGGCTTAGAGCCTGTCCGTCGGGGTCCGCCGCTGAGTTTGGGGAGTTCAGACCCTGAGACATGCCTGGTTTTGGTGCTGTCTCGGTGCAAACACCTCCCCGCTGTGATGGCAGCTTTGGGGCCGTGGTCCTTAGCATCCCCGCAAGGCTGCGCGTCTCCCCTTTGCGTCTCCGCGGGGCTGACTGTCCAGCTGGGTCACAGCTGCCTTGGGGACGTCCGGGACACCCCGTGAGCCTCGGACGGGGTCAGCCCAGCCTCCAGCCCTCCTCACGCCTGCCCACGCTTGTGAGCAACCCAAACCGACCCGGCCGAAGACGCATGGGTGGAAGGGACAGCTTGGGGGTAGCTGCTCCGGCCAGAGAACACGCTCCCGAGCAAAGCCAGGGAGAGGCACGTACGTGGCCGTGCAAGGACACGCGTGCACCCCCGAGCACACACGCAGACACCTCCCCGGGGACCCGGCGAGGCACGGGACAGGGGCGCCTACACATCCCTCCCAGGCAGCCTTCGTGTGCGAAATTCGGTTGCACAGATGCAGTCACAAGAGCCGACTTCAAACGCCCCGTTCCACCGGCGTGGCCCTCGCACCGCGCAGGTGAAACGGCTGCTCGGTGGAAACTACGCTGTGGCTTGAGTGCAGAAGAAAAAAGGCACAATAGCAGCACCTCCCTCCCCACCCCGGCTTCGTGCAGGAAGGAAAAAACACCTCCTGGCACCGCTCGCCTTCGGTAGAGGCGTTTGCGGGGCTGGAGGCAGGGCTGGGAGAGGGGGGGGGCTTCTCCTCCGCGGGGTCTGGTTCTGCTTGGGGCTGGGCATGAGCTTTGCTGCTGCCTGGGCATCACCGGGGCCTTGCCTGCTCCTCCTGCCTCCATCGGGGCACTGCAGTGTGGCCGAACCCCTTTTTGGGTGCCAAAGTGTGTTCCCAAATAGGCGTCAGCGGAAGCTGAGGGCTCCAGGGTGGTTTTTAGCGTTTGAGTCCCCAGAGCAGCGTTGCACGGCACGGGGGGGGCTCGCTCGTCCACGCTCCTCGCCAAACTCGCCCATCGGCTGCTGTGG